ATTTTTATACAATTTTGTTTTTAAAGACTATTGACTATTTTGATGATTTTATTTAAATAATTTTTGACAGAATTTGTTTTTTTTTTTTTTGCAATATTATATTTTGTTTTATTTGCTTTGAAGACCTTTTAAAGGATATGTATTAATATATTACATGCAATTTCCTTTACTTTACTTTATCATCATAATTTCTTTTCAAAATTTTTTCATTCATTACAAATTTTTTTGGTTATTTTCCAATTTTTTTTTATTTTTTTTAATTTTTTTTTGTTTTATTTTTCGTAATTTTATGTGAAATATATTTTCTTGTTTTATAATAAATAATTATAATAGTATGTGAAAACAAAATTTCTAATTTAAAATTTTTGTAGTATTAGAAATTTTTTTTTATATATTATGTTGTTTTATAATATTTTGAAAAATAATGCACATAATAAATTGCAATATTAAGTTAAAAACAATTTTATTAATGTATAGACTTTTTTTTATAACAAATAAAACAGCAAATTAATGAACACAAAAGTTCGAATATAGTAAAATATACACATTTGTATTAATGTATATGTATATTGTTCGCGAAATTTATACTCAAAATTTTTATCCTTTTTTTCGAATTTTGAACAAGAATATGATCGTTTTTTTTTAATATTAAAAAATTTGTAAATAAAAATTTTATTAAAACAAAAACAAAAATTTAATTAAATAAATATAAAAGTTTTTGTATCACATATTTACAAAATATGTGCTTAAGATTAGTTTAAGATTTTTTTTTTAATCTATAAATATTGTTAGCTTAAAAATATTGACAATATTGAAAAGAAATTAAAATTAAGAAAATAGAATATTTTTAATATCGTAAAAATTTTTTTTGGAGTTAAAAAAATATTTTTATCTCGTACTTTTTTTTTTAAAATGCATCATATAATATGATAGAACATTATTCAAATAGATTGTAGTTTTAAGAATAAAATCAAAATTCAAATTTTGGATTATATTTAAAATCCTAATATCACTGAATAATATCCAATCATATTATGTATGAATCGGAGAAAATATGACTATGAGAGTTTCTATAACAGAAGAAAATTGCAAAAATTTTATATTTCTAGTATAAACAGAATTTATTTTTAAAGGAATAAATACATTTAAGCAGTAATATAAATATTATATTCATTAATTGGAAATTTTACATATTATATAGGACAGTTACATTTGCCAACATTTATTTTCAAAAAGTATGTATGTATGTATTTGATAATTTATTAATTGTTATTCTAAAATTAATTCAATGTAATAGTCTTTACTCCAAATATTGAAAATAAATATTTAAAAAAGTTTTTATTAATTTCAAAAATTTTTATATTTTAAATTGATTGAAAGAAAATGACGCATTATGTACCAAAAAAAAAATTAATATATTTTTTTTGGGTAAATATATCAAAAACTGGAAAAATTTACAAAAGAAATTAAAAACAAAAGCATAAAAAATAAATAAAACTCAAGAACGTTAACAAATAATATTAAAAAAAGACCCTACAACTTGAGATATTAATTTTGAGTAATCGCGAAACAAAATACATTTTTTGTTTTTTTTTTCTTTTTTTATTATTCAAAATTTAATTTGTGTAAATAACAATGAATTGTAAAATTTTAGGTTTTTTTTTTATGTTTTTTTTTTATAAGTGGTAAATGCTTAAAAATATTTAAAAAAAAAATTTTATTTAATATAATAATATATTTGTGTGTACATAATATATATATGTATATATATATTTGTATATACATATATTTATTTATTTAAATAATATTAAAATACTTTTTCTTTTTTTTTAAATAATAAAAATAAAATATAATTCAAATTAATTAAAATTTGAAAGTAAATATTTTGCTAAATAAATTAATAAACAAAAAAAATTATTATTATATAATCGGATTTCAATAAAAAAAAAAAAAAAAAGAGTTCTTTTATATTTGCTACTTATATACGCTTAAATTCTACAAACAAAATTAAAACATGTAATGTATATAATAATTAATAGTACATATATATATATGTATATATATATATAAAAGTATATATATATATATATATATATATATATATATATATATGGGTATGTAATATATATATTAATTTATATTATATCATTGTTTATTTTAAATTTTTTAGGTAATATTTTTTTTTAATTTTGTATATACTTTTTTTTAATAAAATAATAATGAAGAGAGTATATAAATTGGTTGGATTTTAAATAAATACAAAAAACAAAAATGAAATCATTTAAATATTTTACATTTATATATGTATGTTTTTTAAAACAAAGAAAACAGTTTATATTAAACAAAAAAAAAATAATATAATGAACAAAAAATATAAAATATAATAAACATTTATTGTAGCATAATTATGCACTGTTTTTAATTTCTTCCTTGTTCTGAATCAACTCTTAAATAAATTAGGAGTTAATCAACTCTTAAATAAATTAGGAAAAAATAAATTGAAAAAGGATTTAAAAAGATAAAATTTTTTCTTTATTTTAATTATCTATTATGTAATCCATTCATATAGAATAAAGGTAAATAAAATTTAATTTCAAAATTATACAAATTAAATATAATAATTTCATTTCGTTATTTTCAAAAAATTCTTGGAATTGCAAATAAAAACAAGTTTTAATTTTTAATACTTAATTAAAATTATTATAAAATGGGCATATATCTTTAGAAAAAGGGTAAATATTAAAAAAATTAACACCAACAAAATATGCCAAATATTTTGTAAAGAAAAAAGTTGAAAAAAGGTTTAGAATTATGTAATTGAAAATTAATAAAATTTTTAATGCGTTTCATTAAATTTTTCAATAATATCCATTTGTCCGTTTATTTACGTTCGTAAATAAATGAGGAACGAACGTTTTTATATCAAATCTAATAAAATCATAGGCTCAAAATCAAGAATCTATTAACGAAACTCCATATTAAAAATGAAAAAAAAGCATTCCAAAAAGTTTTTCTTTGTAAAAATTTGTAAAAAATCTAAATTGTTTAAATAATTGTTATTTAAGAGTTGTTTTCCTCGATATTTTTTTCATAAGATATATTTTTCGTATTTATTTATTTAATTGAATTTTTAAATTTATTTGTTTTTTTTTTTTTAATTAAGTTTTAATTATAATAAATTTATTAATTTTTTTTTGTGTCGTTAAATCTCTTTTTTTTTTTTTGTTTTATATATTTTTTTAATAACTTAGATTTTTAAAAATATACCTATGTACATAATACAATAATATATATTTGAATGGACATTTTATATACATGACCATATGTATGTATTTAATATATTCTACGTTAATATTTTCCTACATACATATGAACATTATATACTTTATGTAATTTATAATTCAAATGTTCATTCCTATATAATATAATATTATCTATTATATATATGTACATATGTATATCTTTGAATATAACATATTGGACGATATCAATAAAAACTAATTTATTAGACTTAATCTATGTAAATAATATTTTATATTTAGTATAATAATAAGAGTATATAATATAAAAAAAACAATTGAACTACGTAAACATATATATATATATATATATATATATATGTATATATATGTTAATTATATATATATATATATATATATATATATTAATATAAATTATATATTAATGTATTTATGTATATATTTTAGCATATATTTATATATATACTAAAATATATATGTATATGTATATATATATATATATATATATATATATATATATATATATGTATATATATGTATATATATATATATATGTATATAGCCTGAAAATCTTAAAACGTAATAAATATAATAATAATTATATAATATTAAAAACTACTTAATTTATAACATTGCAAGAGAATATCATTTTTCTTTTAAAAACAAATTTGAAACTTAGAATTCTTTACTGTTGGTTTTGTTTTTTTCTTAATTTTTAATAGCAATTTTAATTTTTTTGCATATTTTAGAATTATTTTTTTTTTTTTTTGTTTCTGTAAAATAGCAATATAATATGTTATGTATATATTTTTTTCTTTTTATTTTATTTACTTTTAATTTTCGTTTTGTAATAGCACCGTAGCAGCTAATATTGCTGTTTTGCAGACTTTACCACATTTATATAATTAATTTTATATATATAATTTTTTTTATTTTTCAGCATTTTGAAAGTGATTTGAAAATTAATTGCTATACAGTAAAATTTCTTTTATGCACTCATAATAAATTTCTTTTATATTTATTTTAAAATATTTAATTATTTTTTTATCATATCTTTTTATTTGCTGAATCATTATCTTTTTTATTAATTTTTTTATGATTATAATTATTATTATGGTACTGATCATTATTATTATTATCGTTTTTCTTATAATAAAAATTTGACGTCATAATTGAAGAAGACGTTACTGGTGGTAATGGTGGCGGTGTAACAATAACAGATGTTGCAACGGATGTTGCTTTTATCACTTTATTTAATGGATTTAATCCTTTTAGTGCTGTAGGAGCGGCTACTACGGTGGTTGAATTACATTGATTATTATTACTATTATTACTTATATTGTTGTTGGTATTATTATTATTGTTACTTATAATATTTCCTATAGTATTATTGAATTTATTATTACTGTTTTCTGTTTCACAACTGCTATTGTTATTACTTGTAATATTGTTGTTAATATTACTATCATCATTATTATTACTATTATTATTGTTATTGTTAATTTTAATTTTATTTTGAATATTTTTCGTTATTGTTTTAATTATTTGTTGTTGATTATTTGGCGTTGCAGTGGTACATATTATTGGTGTTGTTGTTGTTATTGTTGTTGCAGTTGATGTTATTGTTGTTTGGGTTATTGTATTGTTATTATTTATTGTTGATTGGATTGTTGTTGCACTTACTATATTAGAATTTAACGCCAGCTGATTGTTGATAACAATAGCTGACGATTTAGGCCTTTTTCAGTCACCAAAACGACTACATGCCTTCTTCCATTTACATTGAGTACACCATTGATCTTTGCGATCCATACCATATACTTTACGACATTTTTTATTTTCACCACGTGTACGACGGTTTGGTGATTGTGGTGAACGATTCACTGAAGAGATTATTGCAGTTGTTGAATTCGATAATGAACCAGCCGACAGATGTTGAGTTGTATGCTGTTGTTGTTGCTGTTGTTGATGATTTTGATATGAAATGCCACCAGTGTTGATTGAGGATGATTGTAATCTTGATGCAGCTGTTGCTGTGATTGTCGAATGATGTTGTTGTTGTTGTTGTTGTTGCTGGTGTTGTTGACGTGGATTTTGAACAATTGTTGTTGTTTGATGCTGTTGAATATTTGGACTAAGATGAAACGTTGATGGATTCGGTGCACTTTGAGATAATTGTCCGTTGGTATTATACTGATTATGATGGCTGTTTTGATTTGCTATCGAAATACTATGGTAATTATTATTGTATTGACTATTACCAGGATTACTGTTATTATGATTAATATTGCTGCTACTGTTATTTGTATTGTTGCTATTATTATTTGAGCTGCTATTATAATTGTGATGTTGATGCGCATATGTTGGGGATGGATACGGTGCAGAAGATGTGGACGGACGTGGAGACCATCTTGCATGTTTCATTGGTGATACAGGGCTATGAGATACGGCTGATGATATTGTTGTTGGAGTCGGTTGAGCTGCCCAAGTGTAATTATGATGTGCCAAAGGTGATGTAGGAATATTTATAGGTCCTTAAAAAATAAAATCAGTTAAATTAAAATTACTCTTACTTTAAATTCAAATAATTCAAATTTATTTTTAAATTCGGGTATTTACCATGTGAAGATTTAAGTATGGAATTTTGCGATAATTGTGCCAACAATCCTTGCCTAATTTCAAAAAAAAAAAGGAAAAATTAATTTCATATAAAACCTTTTTTTTAATTTCAATTTTATTTTACCGAAAATTTCCAACAATTTGTCTTTGGTATTCTGGATCTTCATGAGGTGGACGTGCCATATCACGATGACTTAATGTCGGTGGTGAAGGTGGGCTGGGTGCTTTGATAGTTTCAAAATTATCATCCCCGCCAATTTCGGTATAATAAAATTCTTCTTCATGGTCATCTTCTGAATCGCTGTAAGTTCCGTCGTTTTCTTTGCTATTGTGTTTTGGTTTCTTTGGACTAAAAAAGAAAATAAATTTTTTAATGTTTAAATACAGTTAAATTTTCTACTTATACTTGAAAGATTTTTTTTTGTTTTTAACACACAATTTATTGCAAATTGATATTGTATTCACACTATTTCAATTTCAAGAACAGATTTTAAATTGTATCCTTTCGATTAAAAAAAATTCCAAAGACAAGTTATTACCCAGACTGTTACGGTTCATTGAGATTTGAGAATAATAATATTATTTTAAATCAACGGCATTTTGTAGAACTAGTTATTAAACAAAAACTTGAGAAATTTAGAAAACGTTTTCGTTTCGCAAAGTAGAATTCATTGTGGTTTGTGCACAGACTATTTTTTTTTTTAGTGTCAAATTTATTTTGGTGTTGACATTTAAGGAAATTTATCTTATTATATGTGTTGCCATTGCTAACAAAAAAGAATAACAAAAGACTATCTATCTCACATTTAAGTTACTTTCTATCTTCTTCTTTTAGCATACATTGTTTTATATGTTTCTAAAGCCAATTAAAATACAATAAGTGGTGTGGTGTAGAAAGAATAGCAAAATTTGCTGTCAAAGTTGTATTATAGAAAAAAAAAATTAGATAATAGAAATAAATTTATTCCTAATTATTCTGCAAAATTGTATCACAGAAATAGAAAAACCATTTAAAATTTTAATAAATGCATATAAAATTTCGACGAAAATTTGATAATAATAATAGATTAAGAGCACAGCTTCTGCATAGCAAGAACTCAAGAAAAAGAAACTCAACCACATTTTACTCAACAGTGAAGCTTGAAAACTTGTATGTTTTTCAATTAATGAATAACTAAACATAATTTTTGGGAATTGGATTTATATTGAACTCAAAGCATTAAAAAAATATAGAAACATTTGGCTGTATATTATGTGAATATTCCGCATAATTTTTCAAGGTAGAAAAGAAAAAAAACTCGAAAAATCGATTATCTATATATAAATACACATACATATACATATATGCATTTCCCTTGATGTTTATTACTAGAAGAAAGGCTTGCGGGGTAAAGGTGTGCATAATTCACAAAGAATTTTGATATTAATAAGAAGATAAAGAACAAAGATAGGTACTACACCCAGTTAATACGTATTTTTATTACCATTTATTAAACATCTTGGCGCATTTTAAATTGGAAAATCTGTACCGGACAATAAATTATTGAAAAGAAAAAGCAATGATGGCGGAAAAAACTGTTTTTAATGGCGTGCAAGTGTTTAAATTAAATGAAGATTTTCAACTTATAAAAAAATATAATTGTTTGACGAGTGTATTTTGCACATATGATCCGCAAGGAGTCCTAATAAAACTTAGTAGTGGTAAGTGTAATTGTAGAAAATGTATCGAATGTAGACTGGCAGATGGAATTGAAATTTACATCTGATGTTTATTTAGATGAAAACTCTTTGGTGTCTGGGGAATACTTATTATCATCTGAAGCAGAGGTAGCTTGTCTTGGAGCTAAAGGACATGTACTCAATGTTGATAATCATGAATTTGTTCTTAAATTTCAGTCAGAATCAGGTAAATGAAAAATTTAATATGTTATTAGATTGAAATAAAAATTGAATATGTAATTTCAATTCTTTTCTAGATAATCAAAAATTTCGTAAATTAGTCGACAACGTTAAGCGAATCCGCCCTAAATCAGTATTTTCACAACGAACTGAAGAGTCTTCCGCATCGCAGTATTTTCAGTTTTATGGTTATTTAAGTCAACAGCAAAATATGATGCAAGATTATGTCAGAACGAGTACCTATCAAAGAGCAATATTAGGAAACTTATCTGATTTCAATGTAAAAATTTACTTTATTCGGCTATTTATTTAATTAAATTTTAACATAAATGTCATAAATATTTCCAGAACAAAGTTGTTTTAGATGTTGGGGCTGGATCAGGTATTTTATCATTTTTCGCAGTTCAAGCTGGAGCAGCAAAAGTTTATGCAATTGAAGCATCGAATATGGCCCAATATGCTCAGCAATTAGTTAACGCAAATCACGTATTGGATAAAATAGAAGTTATTCCGGGAAAAATTGAAGAAATAGAATTACCGCAACAAGTTGACATTATAATATCAGAACCAATGGGTTACATGTTATATAACGAAAGAATGTTAGAAACGTACTTGCATGCTCGTAAATGGTTAAAACCTCACGGTAAAATGTTTCCAACACATGGCGATTTGCATATAGCTCCATTTAGCGATGAAAACTTATATTCAGAACAGTATAATAAAGCTAATTTTTGGTATCAGTCTTCATTTCATGGCGTCGATTTGACTTGTTTACATAAAGAAGGTATGAAAGAATATTTTCGCCAACCAATTGTAGACACTTTTGATATTCGAATATGTATGGCAAAATCTATAAGACACGTTTGCGATTTTTTGCGAGACAATGAAACAGATTTGCACAATATTGGTGAGTCAATGGTAAAATGAGGAATACTTTGAATCTACTTTCCATTAATTTATTATTTTCATATAAAAAAATGAAATTGGTAAATGATATTTTTTCTTTCTTTAGAAATTCCTGTTGAATTTCATGCTCTTCAAACTGGAATTTGTCACGGTTTAGCATTTTGGTTTGATGTAGAATTTTGTGGATCAACGCAAGACGTTTGGTTATCCACTTCACCGACAGCACCCTTAACACATTGGTATCAAGTTCGATGTTTATTACAAACACCAATTTTTGTAAAGCAAGGACAAATGTTGGTAGGACGTGTACTTTTAGAAGCTAATCGACGACAATCTTATGACGTTAATATAGATTTGCGTATTGAGGGTACTAGTATTTCATCCAGTAATACTTTAGATTTAAAAAATCCCTATTTTCGATACACTGGTGCACCTGTGCAACCCCCACCTGGTACAAATAATCAATCTCCCTCAGAATTATATTGGTCACATTTAGACGCTCAAGGTGTAAGAAACGGTAATGATTAAAATAGAACTTTGAAAAAATATGTTGTAATATTTAGATAAAAAGAAGATTAATTTTTTACATTTTAGCTAATGTTTTAGTTAATGGAATAACAGTTAACGGTATCGGCGAAGCAACAATGGATGTCACTCATACAATGATTAATCAAACGGCATAAAAAAATTCTCATTTAAATTTGAAATTATTTGATCTTTGACTATAGCTTAAAACAATATTTAGAATAATTTTTGTCATCATTTTGCATTGAAATTTCAATTTCGACCTATAATTTAATGAGTAATGAACTGTATAGTGCATTAAAACACTCAAAGTATTTGAAAACTAAAAACTGAAAAAAGTAAAATATGAGCTTAACAGTATATAATCCTCCTTTATTATTTCTTTCATTTCATGTCAGCGATTTATTAGAAAAGAATCAGGTGTATACTAAATATATATATATATATATATATATATATATAATTGTATATACACATATACCTAAACAATATATTATAATATATATTAAGAAAAATGCAATTACGTTTTAAAAATTGTATATTATGTGCTATTAAAATGAAAAACAAGATTAAAACGAAGCAGAATAACTAAGACTTATATTAAATTCAGTCAAATTAAAATAAAAAACAAAAACATTATGAAGATTGTCTATAACTTATTAGAAGAATGTTATTTGATATTTTGATTCCACATCAAGATAATTTTTTTATGTGTAAAATTAGAAATGTTATTTTTAAAAACATGTAGGCTCTTACATAATATGCAATCTTTATTTTATAAATTAATATATAAGTTGAAATTAAATAGAAATATAGATTTGGTTCAAATATTTATTTGTATAAGAAAACTTGCTATATAAATAAACTAAAATAAAAATATATAATATTATAAATCGATATTAAAAACTCGATCTAAATTTCAAAAACTCCCATAATAACGTAATCAAGCATTTTACTATTTTTTCTTTAGCAATATATTGGCATCAAATTGGAATATTAAATTAAATGAAATTATTTTATTTATGACTTAATATTTATTGAGAAGGTAGCTCAACCGACTTTAAAAATTATAGAAAACCAAAAAAAAAAAAAGAAAAATACAAAAAAAAAAAGAAAACCGAAAAAAGTAAAAAAAAAAAAATTACTAAGAAATAAAAGAAAATCTAATATAAGACAAAATTCTTTTTTTCATTCTATCTCGAGTTAATATTTTTTTTAAAAAAGTGAACACTTACACAAAACTAGTTCGAATAAAAACACCGCCAGATAAAAAATTTATTGAAATGAATAATTAATATGCAGGACATTAATTGATTGGTAAAATTTATAAATATTCCCGTTATATCGCTACTTAAAAAGACTAAAACGTTCAAGAACGCCCTCAAATTCATATCGATACAGTATAATGTATTTATATATATGTATAAAATTAAAATCTTCACTTAGGTGTAAAAACTTTTTATTTGAAAATATGTATATTTTTTAGAGAAAGTTAAATATAAACGACTACATCAACTCTTATACTAAATTACTAGACTTGATTGGACTCTATCAATATTTTTTTATTGGATTTCTATTAAGTTTTATCTGAAAAACCTTTGTATGTATTAAATTATTAGTCTCAAATTTGATCCCAATATGATAGGTAAATAAATTCATATGTATAATAATTTTTTTTCTTGAAATTTCTTAGAAAAATCATTTGTGCTGGAGTTTATATCTTTTGTTTGTAGAAATTACTAAAATTTCAGTGATTTGAATTTTTGTGAGATCAGAAAAAATAAGTGATAGTTTTCTTTAAATATTTCTTTTTCGTTGTTTCTAGAGTTTTAATTATGTATTAACAGCCATTTTATTTTGTAGGTAAAGAATATTTATAAGAACGAAGTGGACTTTTTAGAGAAAAATTAAGTAAAACAGAAAAGAAAATTTGAAAAATAAATGAGATTAATTTAATACCCACATGCACATGTGCTATGTACATACATACATACATACATATATATTATTTTTCTTCAAATTATTGGCTTAAATTTACAAAATTTTGTAATTAAAATAAAATGGATGGCATAACTTACCCAAGATGAGCATTACGGACATGTAATTCAATTTTTTCTACAGTCATTTCAATTGTATTACAACCCTTCCAAGTACATTTATATATAATTTGTGCCTGAAAAAGAAGAAAATAAACAAAATTTAATTTGAATTTAATTTAAATGTTGTTTTATAAATATAATTTGAATGTACTTATGTATATATTAAAATTATAAAAACAAAAGTGTTATGCAGTTGTCACACCCATAAAATAACACTGAAGCATTGTAAAATTTAATTAATTTCTTTCAACTATAGTTTCAATTTCAACTATAGATGAGTTTTCATTAATTTAGAGTTCAATATAAGCATTAAAAGTGTTTTTAAATATTTTTGTTTTTTTTTTTTTTTTTTTGTAGAAGTAATAACAATTCTTTATTACAACAGTGGAATTACGCTCAAGAACCTTTATAAGTGCGTGGGAATGAAACAATTCAAAAACTTGTTAAAATTTTTTTTTATTTTAATTGTGCATTCATTGGAAACATATTTCATTTTAATCTTTAAATTTAATTAGATTGATCGAATATTACTTTTAATTCGATCACACTGGTACTCTCCAATCTATAACTACAAATGGTATTGTGATTTAAAATTAAATACTATATTAATAAAATTTTGGATTTTCCTAATCATATTACATTATGAAACAATTTTTCACTAACAAAGAAATTAATATTTAATTTATTTTTACCAAATATACCGAATGTCAAGGATTATCAAGGCCTTAAAAATTGTAAAAAATGAAAATTTTAAAATATGACAGTATTATTTTAGATATATGTATATCTAAATACTATGTACATAAATACTTTTCAATTGGCACATACATACTTTTTACATAAGTGCAAGTAAATTGTACAATTAAATTTTTTTTTCTGTTTTAATGGCAGCAACATTGTGCAAGTATGTATTTTGATAGCACAAGGTAACAAAAAATATTCTTCACATTTTCATTTATGCATAGTTAAATATACAGTATGTGTAATATTAAATTACATATGTAAGCATACACATGTGCATGTACATAGATACGAACGTGCATAAACAGATGTGCGGTGTATGTGAATGGGTGGAATTATTTATATTGCCTGAAATCGGTGCATTTAAAATTAATTTTATTTTTTCTTGTTTTACATGTTGCATTTTACAAAAAGTAACAAGAAAAAAATAAAACTATTTTATTTTATATCATAATATAGTATATATATGTACGTATGTATGTATGAAGTATATTAAAAAAAATCTATGCCAAAATGAATTTCGACCTACTAGCCTAGATTTTTCTTGAAAATGGAATCATTACAAAATATAAAAAAGCAAATAAGAAAAAACAAAAAAAAAACAAAACAACTATACCATATAAATAAAATATTATATGTTATAGAAGCTTTATTTAAACTTCATTCTTAATTTAGAATACGGTCGGTATCTATATATACGTATATATATGTATATATATATATATATATGTATATATATATGTATATATATATATATATAAATAGGCTTGTACTTTTATAACAAAGTCAAGTATATCCATATATAATATATTATATATTATATTTATATATTTTTACATTAATATTTGTATATATATTAGGTATATAGAAAAGTATAAAAAATAATTATTAAAAAATTAAAATAAAAAATACAAGAGTATATGTATATCATAATGTACATGAATGTAATTATATAATAATATATATATATATATATATATATCTTACTTATTATATACATATATTATAGATATATCTATTATTTAATATACTTATATTATTCACAAGTTTTACTAAAAATGTTATACACTTGGATATGACAAATTAATATATTATAATAATAAAGATGCCGGTCGGTTGCTTTTGGTTATGATTGAATTATAAATAGCAATACTAGAGAAAATCGCATAATGCAATATAAATATTATATGACGTGATGGTTGAGAACAAAAGTTTTATAGGTAACTATAACAATTTTTTCAAAATCTTTTTTCATATTGTATAAAATATGTTTACTGTTGTGAGTTAAACTGTGACGAATGATATACTTACAGTCGAGTATATTCTATTTAATAATAATTCCAAAAGGAATTAATCAATAACAAAATTCATTATGATCATATTTTAATTAATAGAAATATGTAAAGCGGTCGGTAATAATGCAATTTTATTCTGAGTTTCGAATCATTAAATGATACTGATAATTATTGTAAAAAGTTTGATATTATTATTGTAAACACAAACCAATTCATAGAAAATAATTCTTCTCTATAATAAAGTTTTCTGAAGTTTTTACGATAAACATCACCATCATTTTAGTGATTTACTAAGAGAATCAGAAATATTTCGTCCCAATATGCTTAACGATACACTTCGCATATATACGTATGTAAAAGTCATTTTGAAAAATTATCGGATAAGCAACTTGTGCCGTCTTCATATTAATGTACATATTTATGGCAATAATTTAAAGCTACTAACAATCTTTGTCATTTCAATAAAAATTTTTACAAAAAGGAACAAAAATAATTTTTTTTTTTATATTTAAAATTAATTAACTTTGAATTTTCATCTATACAAACAAAAAACAGAAAAAAAATCCGTTAGTATTCTTTTTTATTTTATTTTTTCAATTTAATTTTTTCGTCATTGTAACCTAGATTCGTCATATTAATGTAGAATTGAATTGATAGTGGTGATGGTGTGTGGTGGTTGTTAGCGGTGATATTATTAATTCTAGAGCCGGTAAGAAAAAAAAATTTTATTTTCTTTTCTATTTTTTGTTTTTATTTCGATAACTAGTACCAATGCCAAAAGTACAAACAGAACGTAAAAATTATATATAAATAAAAAAAAGAAAAATAAAAAATAAAAAACTTTTTTAAGCTAATTTAAACCAGGTCATCTTTACATAGGTAAATGTAGGTACAATAAAAGCTATATGATATAATAAATAAGTTAAACAATTTAGTACTTAGCATTTATAATAATTACATATAGTATACACCCACAAGTGCATATTTACTTGCAAACATACATACTTACATATACATATGTGCATATTTTGTATGAACATTGTGTATCTTTTGCAATTTTATATTTTTTATTTTATTTTCTTATAAATTTATATTGTGTAATAGATAATGAATGCAATTGCATGTGCATTATGTATGGTGTTATATATGTATGTAGAAGGGCATCCCATTATAATAATTTTGATTTATTGTTTTTGTTTCTGAGTGATTTTTAAATGAAATTCTTGGGTTTATAAAATGCAATTTAATTTTTTTTTTTCAATGAATAATTGAAATTTTAAAAAATTTATTACAATATTTTACATTTTGAGATATTAAAACATTTGAAATTTCGATATTATTAATTAAGTAGTATAGGTCTATAAAATATTTAGATTAATTGTGAAAAATGTATTACAAGTTAAAGAAGCTATTGAATTAAACTGCATGTAAGATTATAAGAAGCATATGGCCTGAGTTTAAATTTTTTACTAAAGGTTTAGCCAACCACACGAAATTTATTAATAATATATATATGTATGTAAATATAGATTTTATACTCGCATGAACTTGTGTGATTCAAGTAAAAAATTTTTTTTTTGTTAAATTAATTTTGAAATAAAAATCATTAATTATTATTATTATATTAATCATACAAACTTAAAGTTACTAATCTATTTTCTAAATTGTATATATATATTATGTAGATTAGTTGTGCAAATTTGTGTAATTCTATAGCAATCAGGAACATTTTGTAGAAAATTCTATCTGTTACATAGGTTTTTTAATATAACTTCTTTATATACGCATCGCATTTTTGCCCATATGGTATGTAATTTTTCTAATCAAATAGAAAATGTATCAAATAGATAAATGTAGATACAATACTAATATTAGCATTAAAAATTCTGCCCAAAAGTTTGTGAATATAAGCATGTTAAAGAATATTTATCATAAAATGTGTGCATATTTAAATAGGTATAAAATTTTTTCTCAATATGCGGAAAACTTTATGCGTTAGATACTCAATTTTTTAGAAACAAAGTATCTAATTAACAATTTTGCAAATTATATACAAACATTCATATATGTATGTACATACATATATATGGAGTTATTTTAAAAGCTAATTTCGAATCAAAAACATACATATATTTAGAATGAACCTACTTAAATTTGAATTAAATTATTATTTTTATTGATAGCTAATTCTGTATACATAAAATGAGCCTTCGGAAAATTATTTATATAGTTCTAAATTCTTGCATATTTTTAGGTAACATTCAGAATCTAGAATATACATATACAGAATCTGGAAATGTTAATGTTAGTCACAATCACATATTGGATTATATTTGAAAACAAATAACAAAAATTTTCATTTCAAATAAAAACGTAATAAAAACGTAAATAACAGTAAATAAACTAATAAATTAAAAGTACGGGTAACCCTGGCTTCCTTATTGTAAAATGCGTTTTATAAATTTTATTTAAGCGATTCTGCTACTGAAAGTAAAATTATAATTAAAATCTTTCTGTTTATATTTAAAACATTTAAGCATTATTTTGTCAATGTAATAGAAAAGCTTAAAAGCTCAAGTTTAAAGACGGTTTAAAAATTGTTTTATAATACGGAAGTCATCCTAAATAAGTATGTGGTTATATAATGGAATTTATAAAATATGTATTATCCAAAATTATAATATTGAAATTATTAAATTAAATATTACATAGAAATTTTAATATATATATGTATATGCAAAGCGAGATCCACTATATATGTAGAGTACGCATATGCAATGAGTGCTGGGAAAACAAGAGCGTAATTATCATGTGCAATGTTTATTGAATATTATTCATTGCTTTGAAAGCGGAAGGGCGCAATTTTTGACACTGCCTATGGCGGCGAACAAGTTTTGTACCAGGCCTGTGTATATGTACATGTTTAAAATTAATTTCATATTAAAAATATTTCATAAAAACTTCTGAATTTCTAAGAAAATTTTGGTAATTGAGGTTTGATATACCGAAGCAAAAATCATTTGTTTTATAAATTATAA